TGTACGGGCCGCTTTACAGTATATGATTATTTGACTATTCAGAGGTTTTTGAACGCAAAAAAAGCTATATTCTGAACAAAAATCTACAATGTTGTGATGCTTCAATATAATGATTATGCATACTTGATACTTGTTGAAAAGAAGAAAATTATTTATGAATACATGCAAGGGTGAACTTTATCCCCGTTTTCATTTTAGAAATAACGAGCATAACTTTTTTCGGGGGTGAGGACAAAGAATAAGCCAGCCAATCTTAATGAAAGGGACTCTTTTTGAAATTCACATATAAAGATTAAAACACGCAAACAAACAAGAAACCCAAAAAAGTGGAATGAAGGAATCTCTATCGTTATCATTTTTACTTTTTTTTTTTCTATAAAAAAAAAATATTGTTAAATATAAAAACTTCATTCGCCCTCTGTCATGCAAAGAGAAGGTGCAAATGGGATTGAACGTTCGCGTGGTAATTAGGCTACCATTTACCAAAAAAAATTTAGAGGAGTCATTTAAAATTCTTTAAAATAATGACTAAAAAATATCAATTTAAAATTCTCCAACTTCTATTATCATCTCAACTTGCATGGAGATTTGAATTTGTAAATTTAAAATTTATATATTTCAAATCCCTCAATAAATCATTCAATCTAAACGTAGCTTTAGAGAATTGTATAGTTGAGTGGCATTAGTGATTTCAAAGTTCAAATAATCTAATCCAACAGAAGAATTACAACCGTCATATATCATGACTAAAATGGAAATGAACGGTGGATGTATTTTTATTTGACAAAAGATTTATGAAGAAAAAAAAAAAAATAGTGAAAATTAGTCAGAAAGGGTCTTTGCATTCTTTGTGAACAATTTTAACAATTTACGATCGCCTAGATTTTGAAGTTAAATGACATTAGCATAGAACGCGTGCTTGCTAACCTTGCAAGTAACTTTGTGGAAAATGACTTAGGCACTACAAGAAAATGTCAGAGTAGCTACAAAGAATAATAGACAATACTTGTGGACAATTAGTAACTATATACTAGTACAGTACCCGTGCGATGCACGGGACTTTATTATTTTCGTCATTTTTAAAAGGCAATTTAGTATTTAAATTCAAATTATATAATAAAGCACCGATCATTGATTATAATTAAACCTAACAAATACTTATTATAAGATACGTGTACTTATTTATATTAATTATGTTGGATTTGTATAATAGGAATGTTTTTCAAAAATATGGGCTTCAAAAAGTTCATATCGGCCCAATTTACAATGTTGGCTTCGAAAGTTCATATCAACCCAAACAAAATAGAAAAAATAAACCAATGACCAGATTAGTCAACGCAAATCGACGGTTTAGATTACACTGAACATAGTATAAATAGTGAAATTATCGGACCATTAGCTTCATTTCTTCCTTCATTTTTAGCCGCTTCCAGCTTCTTCTTTCGTTTTTTTTCATTGATCTTCTTCCAACGTTTCCGTTCTAACACTGAGGGTCTTATAAATACATATTCTTTTATAGTTTTCATTTAATCGATGCTTTAAATTAGTTTTTGGTGTTTTGCACGAAACAAAATATGGATTGTTCAATTTGCAAGTTTTTATTTTCGATTTTTGTAGTTTTATGTTCGAATTTTTTGGTTTTTACAATTAATCAAAAGAATCTTTCGAATTTGAGTATGCGCCGGTAGATTTTGTTAATTTTAGTTGTTTTGCCCGAAAATAAATGTGAAATTTTTAATTTTAAGGTTTCTTTGTTCGATTTTTGTACTTTTATGTTCGAATTTTTTGGGTGTTTACGATTAGTCAAAAGAACTCATAGAATTTGAGTGAGTGTCGGTAGATTTATTTTTTTTTATCGGCAAAATTATTTTGTTACACAAAATTTTTTGGCGTCCAAATGATTTTTTTCTTTTAAAACTCAACTCGGCTGAAAACATACAAATCTGACAATTAATTATGTGATATCATTGATTTTGATGAATTGCACACAATTATCATGGGTTATGAACTTGCAAGTTTTTTTTTGCCCAAATTAATGAATGTTGATATCAATTAATTTTAAAAGGATTGGTATTGAAATAAAACTCAATATTTTAAAAGCATTATTTGTACCAAAATTGAGTAATTTAGTTACCAAAACTAACTATCCATGATTGAAGGTATATTTAAATATTTCTCATTTAATAAATAAAAAATAAAACAAAACTTGCCCGAAATGGTATGCAATTAATGTTGCCAGATTTTTTTGCTTACTATTTTTGGTAAATAGTAATTCTTATTATATATATATAGATAGATATACTAACAAAGCGAAAAAGAAGACAATATTTGTATTTTTTTATTTTTTTTTTTTTGGGTACAAGACAATATTTGTATATTAACAAATATAGTTTGTTGGTAAATGCTTCAAAATTGCCTACAAGTTTTCATAAACAAGATTTACCTAAAAATGTTTTGTTGACGATCGTAATAGCCAATGTCCACTGACTTGTTGGCATCACTCGTGGGTCTTCCAGCGCCGCCAGCAACAATGCACAGAGAACTCACGGGACTCCCACAATGCTCTGTCATAACTCATAAGTGAAGGCCCATCTTAAGGCTTACTGTGGTTTTTTGCTCTTCTCCAGATTCGAAACCTGCATCCTGAACATAACGTGGAGTTCATAGCAAGTCTGGTATCAAAAATGTTTTTCTGGATATTTACGTGCAGATATATTTTAAAGGTAAATGTTTAGAGATTACCTATGTATTCTACATTTACATGAAGATTTTCCTATAAATTTTTCTCCATATATTTATCTACATATATATTTTGTAGGTAAAATACCTAGAGATTACCTACAAATTTTCTACATTTACGTGCTTGAATATTTCCCTACAAATTTTTCTTTAGGTAATTACAGACAAATTATCG